TGGTCTTTTCTGGCTTTAAAATCTATGACTCTATAAAGTACCAGACTGGATCAGATCCCCGGTCCATCTAGTCCAGTATTTCATCCCTGATCCTGGTCAGCACCAGATGCTCCAGAAGAAGGGGTGAGAACCCCACAGTTGGCAGATGTGGGGTAATTTATCCCCCAGTGAAGGTCTCATCCTAACACCGAATAGTTAGAATTTGCCTTATAGCTTGAGAAATAACAAGACTACAATAAAGCTGGGATACATGGCTATATACAATGGTATAAAATGGTCTGCTCCTTTCTTTATCCTACCCACGTCCCCAATCCTGCAACTACTTATGGACATGAGAAGCAGAGGTGGGTACAGAGCTGGGTTTGGGAACCTGGAAATGGAGATGCTGAAGGCAATGGAGAATGAGGTTTGGAAAGAGACTGGGGGGGAGCAGGCTGGAGAAAAGCACTGCCATTGAGAAAGGTTCATAGCTTCCTAGAAGGGACCATTGTGATCATCTTGTCTGACCTCCTGTATAGCACAAGCCACAGAACTGCCCCACAATAATGGCTAGAGCAGAGCTTTCAGAAAAACATCCAGACCTGATTTAAAAATGGTCAGTGATGGAGAATCCACCTTGATCCTTGGTAAATTGCTCCAATGATTAATTATTCTCACTACAAAAATTTATGCCTTATTTCCAGCCTGAATTTGTCTAGCTCCAGCTTCCAGCCATTGGATCGTGTTATTCCTTTCTCTGCTAGATGGAAGAGCCCATTATTAAATATGTGTTCCCTATGTAATCAAGACACTCCTTAACGTTCCCCCTTTGTTAAGCTAAAGAGATTGAGCTCCTTGAGTCTATCCCCATAAGGCAGGTTCTCCAATCCTTTAATCATTCTCGTGGCTCTTCTCTGAACCCTCTCTGATTTATCAACATCCTTCTTGAATTGTGGACACCAGAACTGGAGACAGGATTTCAGCAGTGGTCACACCAGTGCCAAATAGAGAGGTAAAATAACCTCTCTACTCCTACCCGAGATTCCCCTGTTTATGCATCCCAGGATCACATTAGCTCTTTTGACCACACCGGGAACTCATGTTCCACCACCATCCCCAAATTTTTTTCAGAGTCCCTGCTTCTCAGCATATAGTCCCCCATCCTGCAAATATGGCCTACCCCCCCTTGATCATAGATTCATAGAATATCAGGGTTGGAAGAGACCTTAGGAGGTCATCTAGTCCAACCCCCTGCTCAAAGCAGGACCAATCCCCAACTAAATCATCCCAGCCAGGGCTTTTTCAAGCCTGCCCTTAAAAACCTCTACAGAAGGAGATTCCACCACCTCCCTAGGTAACCCATTCCAGTGCTTCACCACCCTCCTAGTGAAAAAGTTTTTCCTAATATCCAACCTAAACCTCCCCCACTACAACTTGAGACTATTACTCCTTGTTCTGTCATCTGGTACCACTGAGAACAGTCTAGCTCCATCCTCTTTGGAACCCCCCTTCAGGTAGTTGAAAGCAGCTATCAAATCCCCCCTCATTCTTCTCTCCTGCAGACTAAACAATCCCAGTTCCCTCAGCCTCTCCTCATAAGTCATGTGCTCCAGCCCCCTAATCATTTTTGTTGATCAGCAGGTGCAGTGCCCATTAGTACATTCTGGGGCAAAGAGGAAGCTGTTTCTGTCTGCAGCATATCAGGGTGGGAAGAGGGTTTTCACTGTTGCTGTGCCTTGCAACAGTAATTTTAGCAGAAGGGGATGGAGGACGAAAGAGAAAGTAGAGTCAGTCAGTAGGGTGGGATAGTTTTGTTCTTAGCAGATGGCTTGCTCTACACGGCTTCAGTTTGAAAGCATCGGGCCGGATTCTCCGCTGCCTTGCACTTTGTGTCGTCACTCATGCCGGTGCAAAGTGGGTGCAAAATGCTACCAGACAGAATGGTAGCGCTCTACCCCTTTTCTGCATTCCGTTTGCACAGGCAGTATTGAAGACACAAGGTACAGGGCAATGGAGCATCAGGACCAGTATTTCAGTGACACCATGATGTCTGAGCACTGTACACACACCACACAGACCCCTCAGCTGTATTCCTCTGCGTGAGAGGTGCTAGTATCATGTTTTGGACTAGTATCATGTTTTCTTTTGTCCTTCTCAGATCTGAGATGTAAGTCCTCCTACTTCACTCTTAGTGCTGAAATCTAAAAGGAAACCTCAGTTCTGAAAGGAGAACTGTAGAGGAAAGATTGAAAATTGAGATTCATCTCTGGATTCCCCACTAGCCAAGCTGTGGAGGGGCGGGAGGGTAATTCGGCAGAAAATTCAGCTCCCGATGAGACATTTAAAAAGTATTGCCTCCCTTTGTGAAATCACCTTCGTAGTTTATGGATGGCTGACGCAGGGGTTGCAATGAGTCTTCTGATATTTGCGTTTTCACATTCGGAGGGGTCTTCAGTGACCCAGAAAACACCAAAAGGGAGACGATACTACCTCACCAAGGCTCTCCAAGAATCATGCATCTGACGAAGTGGGTATTCACCCACGAAAGCTTATGCTCCAACACATCTGTTAGTCTTAAAGGTGCCACAGGACTCTCTGTCGCTTTTTACAAGAATCATAAGAAAAGGCATTTTTAAAGGGTTGCAACTTATTTCTTTGCTGCATTCCACCCAAGCGCATAACTTGATTTTCACTTTGGCTTCCTTTGAGATTCATTTGAAACGTCAAAGTTTCAAGCTTTATTCAGTGTGCCTGTCCCTCAGTTTGGTGGTTCTCATTTTACAGAGCTGTTCTAAAAATACCTCTTTGCTTTTTGGAGTGCATGCTTCCACCTGACTCAGTTACAATGTGTGCTTTCCGGTATGTTGCTGTATCAAACTGTTTTGCACAGAAGAATTAAAATGGCAAAGGATTTTCAGTAAGCATGGGATTGTCTTCTCCGTCATTGCTACTACATGCACTGAAGCTTAAAAGAGAGGCAGAAAATATAGTAGTTTAAATTTGATATATGCGTCTCTTCCCTTAACATGTGTGTTAACCCCACAAGTGTCAGTGAGCACTCTGGGTATGTACTGAGAGGAGAATTAAACATCTCATGCAGACTATTTGCGGGGGGGGGAACGGTGTCTTGCAAGTTTGAGGTTGACCAGTGCCAGCTCAGCTAGTTGGGTTTTGTTTGACAGGCTCAGACATTTTAGAACCTGGAAGCTAGCTGAATAAATAAAAGAGATAGGCCCTGATTCTCAGTGAGTTCCTCCCTGTGCTGAGCACAGGAAGAGCGGGGGCTGTGCAAAGGTGACTCTGGTTATGTTGATGGTTTGCAATGAGAAGTTAGAGTGTTTTATGTTTTTATCTTTTCTGGCCAGTTGCAATGTAACATGACTTTGTTTCTTAAAATCCAGAACCTTAAACACACAAGAACTAAAAACAGAGAGAGAGAAAACAGGCTGCTCCCTCAAGTAGAGAGGCACAACTCACCCCACCTTGCTTTAAGGCTGGCTCTTTGCAGGCTGACTGTGGTAGAGAAAGATTGCCTGCTTCCTACACAATTTGTAGCCTGCAAGCAGGACCAGGAATCCTTTTAGGATTTAAAGTGACAGTTTGTAATTTTTACAGTTTGCAACACACCCCAAATTTAAGCCACCGTTAAGCTTCCCATATTCTGCAGCTCTATGGGCAGAAACACAATGATGCCTTGTGGATCCCAAAGGATAAGCAATAAAAACACAGCAGAGGCTTAAATATTTGTGGGAAAGCCAGCTCTCGCGGCCTCATCATCTGCCTACATCAGTCTTTGGCACAGTCAACAAAAAAAGATGAAACATGCAGTCTCATTCAGGACTCAGCCAAAAGCCCATTGAATTAAATGGCAAGGCTTCTGCTGACTTCAGTGGGCTTTGGATCAGGGCCTCAGTGCAGCAGTACATAACTAAATCGAAATAATTAGCCCAGGGGTCGGCAACCTTTCAGAAGTGGTGTGCCGAGTCTTCATTTATTGACTCTAATTTAAGGTTTCGCGTGCCAGTCATACATTTTAATGTTTTTAGAAGGTTTGTTTCTATAAGTCTATAATATATAACTAAACTATTGTTGTATGTAAAGTAAATAAGGTTTTTAAAATGTTTAAGAAGCTTCATTTAAAATTAAATTAAAATGCAGAGCCCCCTGGACCAGTGGCCAGGACCCGGGCAGTGTGAGTGACATTGAAAATCAGCTCGCGTGCCACCTTTGGCACACGTGCCATAGGTTGCCTACCCCGAATTAGCTGCTAGATAGCTTCAGATCAGGCTCTGGGTTGTCTGTCCAGGCTCTCAGATCGGCTTATGCTTGTTGTACTTGGCGGGCACTAACCAGAGAAGAGATACAGGTGCACAGGATTCAGGGAAACCTTCAGAGACAATCTAGCTATGGGGCTCCCATGGGCTTTAAGAGGAGTTAAAGCCCCATGCACCACTTGGCAGATAATGAACGCTTTCCCATTTTGCACTGCTTTTTTTCAAAGATACAAGGGTGATAGAAACCCTTTTTATCCACTTTGAACATTCAAGGGGATGAATCAGGTTTGTGGGGATTTGACCCCATGGTTCCAAGGTCTGATGGTATTTTAAAACCTGAGGCATAGCGCCTAAGGGCTTGTCTGCATTAGGGATTTTTGCACCATTGTCGCTATGCTGGTGTAGCTACGTTGCACTGGTGTAAAATGGGGCTTACACCAGTTTTATACCAGACTAAACAAGAGCATGAGCAAACCCCAGTTCACACCAGTGCAGTGCATTTACACTCAGGATTTTGACCCTATGCAAAAATCTCTAATGGAGATAAGTTCTAAGCCATCGTCTCTGGCAATATCTTTTCATTTAAATACTGGAATATTAGCTTGCTGTTTGGACAGGGCACCTGAGATGGTGCTTGAAATGCAAGCCAGGCGAGGAATGGGTTTGTTCTGCTGGGTCATTTCCCTTCACTCCCTTTCTATGAATTTTTAGCTACTGTTTCCTAACATCGCCTGAAAATCCAGAGCCATGACCACTCACGTCACGCTGGAAGATGCCTTGTCCAATGTGGACCTGCTGGAGGAGCTACCGCTGCCAGACCAGCAGCCATGCATCGAGCCACCTCCCTCTTCCATCATGTACCAGGTACGTACCAGCTCCCAGATTTTGGCTCGGGGAGGCGAGCTTTAGAATGGTAACTCCTAATAGGTGTGCATGGGTGTTTGCAGACCAGTCAAAAGGATCTTCTAGTATGAGTAAGGGATGAGGACCAAAGTATGGGAGAAAATACGGGACAGAGGAAAGTTATTGCAACAGTAAAAGATCACAAGATGTGCTTTGCTGTGTACAGGTCCTGTTGGTTCCTCTTTCTATGTAGTGCATATATCTTATAATATAGACACCAGGTAATATATAGTATGTGGATATTTACTCCTCCCCCCCACCACACTCCTGCCTCCTCGATTGGCTTGCTCCCCATGTTAATGTGTAACTATGTGTGCAGTGATTGCCTTGTCATGCGTGGAGGATTGCAAAATTTGTTTCACTAGGTCAGATCGGACACTCGTGCTGTAGCATTAGCATCTAGTACAAGTTATCAGCTCCACAGGCACTTGTGGGTCAAATTCCATCCCTCCCGAGGCAATCCTGCCATTGTTTTTAATTTGTCTACTTCTCCAGTATTTTCACTCCCTCCTGGCCAGCTTCCAGTGAGCACGCTGGAGGGCAGAGCGAAGTTGGTCCAGGACAGCCCCATTTCAGGGAGCCCACACAGGCATGAATAAGGTTGAGTCTAAAATACCTGGGCTAACCTGAGTCTGGAAAACCTGGTCAAGCCTGTTTCCATATCATGATTAACCCCGGGCGTTGGTTGCTAGCCTTCACCACTGCCCTCCACCCCGCCACTCCAGTCCTCAGACTGGCTCTCCCCGGCTACATTATCCCAGAAATGAATGCGCTGTGTAGATATCTAGTTTCACGACAGTTATGCTACAGATGCCCTTGTAACTCTACTCTTAATCCAGGAGCTGGGAGGAATCAATTACTGAAGTGAATACGATTTCACCAAAGCCAGTTTTGTTGGCGGTGTTGGGGAGGAGCAGCATCATGCATTTGTATCTTAGATTAGTTCACATCCAAGTCTGCCTGGAATCAGGGGACTGAGAGTCAGGACTCCTGGGTTCTTGATCTTCCCCTGACTCCCTATAGGGTCCCTGTACTTTTCTGTGCCTTGTTTTCCTCTCTCTAAGATGGTTCTATAAAAAATTACCCTACAGTGGTATGGGGAACAGGGCCGGCTCCAGGCACCAGCCGAGCAAGCTGGTGCTTGGGGCGGCAGCTTGTAGGAGGCGGCATTCCGCCCAATCCTAGGGCGGCACGGCCGCTTTTTTTCCTTTTTCTCTCTTTGTTGTTGTTGCGCTCCGGCTGCCCTGTAGGGGGCGGAGGACGGGAGCGCCCTGCAGCAAGCCCGGCAGGGCAGTCCGCGTCCTTCCCTCCCATCCGACTGGAGTGGCGTGGAGCCCTCCCGGCAAGTGGCAGGCGGCGCGGCAGGAGGGGCTGCGTGGCAGCGCCCCGCTGAAGCCCTGGCCGCCCTCCTTCTTTCTCTCTCCCCCCCCCCCCCCCCCCGTGCGGGGCCCCCCCGGCCGCCCCGGGGGGCCCCCGCCCCCCGGGCCCCGGCCCCGCCCCCGGTTTTTTTTTTTTTTGCTTGGGGCGGCCAAAAAGCCAGAGCCGGCCCTGATGGGGAAGCTCAGCCATTTATTATTTGTGACGTGCTTTGAGGTCCTCAGTGGAGCCCATTATTCTCGCTGTCAGTAGGGTCAGCCTGTAAGTAAGGAGTTCTCCCAGCAGGTGTTCGTGGCTGCGGTAGCTGCCACCTCATATTATTATCGGTTCTTGTTCTGCAACTCGCCGTCCCAGAGCATCTCCTCGCAGCAAGACCTGGCATCGCAGCACTTCCACCTCAGTTTCCCCACGATGAGCTTCAGCCTGCGCCCGCCATAGCCTCCAGCCCACTTCTGGGGTAGCACAGTCCCTGAGGGGCAGCCCCCTGGTTACAGGCAGGCTCCCAGTGGCAACAGCCTGTCAGACTGACTAGCCTCCATCATCCAGGTCAGGTCTACCCTCCTACCACGGGCTCTTAGCAGGTCACAGCCCTCAGCCAGGTCCTAGCCGGAGTCCAGCTTCTTGCCTTACATCAGAGCAGCTTGTCCACCCTCCGCCCCCAGTCAGCGCTCAGCTGCTGAGCTTTTCTCCTCCTTCACGCCTCCTGCTCTCCTCCCCAGACAGCCCTGCAGTGCTGGGGTCTCCTGGGGTTTTTTAAGTCCCACACCCAGCACAGGTGTAGTGGGGTGGGGCTGACTGAACAGGGCAGACTGGCCCCAGGCCTCTGGTCTCTTAAAGGGGCAGGCTGCCCTCTGACAGCTCTAGATTGTTTTTAGCCCCAATCTATTGCCATTCACATCAGTGGGAGCAGGCTGGAGCCCTGTGTCAGTTAGTCTGCGCAGCGGCAAGGGCCTTAAAGCCAGAAGCCAGTGCCCTTCATTTCTTCTTCTCTCAGCGCATCTACGTACAAGAGCAGCCACTAGGACTTGGCTGTGAGTTTTCAGCTCTGGTGCCTCAGACACATTCTCCCCTTCGGGACTGCCTGACTTGTAAATGTGTATATTTTCCTGCCCTTTATCACCGTTTATTCTTGGTAACCCCTGCAAACAAAGCGTGGCTCTCTGTCCCCCTCCAGAGGCTGGAGCATGAATAGCGGCTAATGAGCCTGCATCAGCCTCTGACTGAACGGACCTGAGTATGAGCTCCAGAATGAGCGCTAGAGACTTGTTCTTTTAGACCCAAGGGTGCTGGGATCAGTCCATGCAGATGACCTGACCGGGGGAGTCATTACATGTTTTTATGGGATCTTCCTTCTTAATGAATGATTGAAGCCCTTTTGGCCATCTGGAGCAGCTGAACCATAACAAATATCCAACAGTGCTTTAACCCTGGACCGTTTGTTGTGTCTGCAGGCTAATTTCGACACAAACTTCGAAGACAGAAATGCCTTTGTGACCGGCATCGCCAGGTACATCGAACAGGCTACAGTGCACTCTAGCATGGTGAGTCTCCAAGCCCACCCAGGACCCTTACATGCCTCGCCCCTTCCAGGGTCTGCGCCACCACGTCTTCATGGCTGGTTTTAGCTTAATTGAAGCGAGTGTGGGTATGCCTGCCCACGCTGCAGTCGCCCCTCCGATTGCAGGGTAGACATACCCTCAGTCCCGTGGTGCTGGTCCATGCTTCTTTCTAGTGGGCGTTCCACAGCCGAGCGTTTCTGTATGTTTCAGAATGAAATGCTGGAGGAAGGACATGAATACGCAGTGATGCTTTACACTTGGAGGAGCTGCTCTCGGGCCATACCCCAGGTAAGAGGTAGTACTGGATCCCTTCCAGGAGGGACATGCTACAGCAGCCAGCTGGCTGTCACTTACAAATGCCTCGATTTGTGCTGGGGAAATCAACCAGAAGGAGAGAAGACTCTTATTGGGGTATGGTGAGAAGCTGGAATGAGACTACACTGACCCCGCCCCCAGCCCAACCATCCCACTGCTGGGGAGGAGCGGGGTGTGGGCTGCAGTACCAACAGCACTAGATAGCTGCTTTAGTAGCTGCAGAACTCTGGAGTACTTGTGCTGTGCTCAGGGCAAGACCCATCCCTGTCTGTTATGAGGCGTGTGGGTAGCACTGCTGTCATTAAAGCTGTGTTGTAGCTTCCATTCTAACCCCTCTTCTTCGGATGCTCCTGACTGTCTCACATTCCTTCGGAGCTGGAAATTGTTTCAGCTCAAAGTTTATTTGCTTTTGAGAAGTTAGGCCCAGATCCTCAAAGGTGCCTAACTCCCATTGATTTCAATGGGAGTTAGGTGCCTAAATACCTTTAGGATCTGGGCTCTAGAGTGAAATCAACGGAGCAGTATTTGGAACACACTTTCCCCCTCTTTCTATTCCACGGGTTACATTGGGATGATTTCAAACTTGACTTGTTTGGGGGCTTCCACTGAGATTTAAACATCACGTTAAGTTTGAAAAAAATCACTTCATTATCTTTAGTGTTAAACTTGTTACAAGCCCGTTGCTTGATTCTGCCCATCTTGAACTTGAGACCAGTGCAAACTGCAGTGAAATTCCACATTTGGGAGTGGGGGGGATTTTTTTAGGCATTTGTGTTGAGTGGCGGCTAATTGAAGCTGCTCAGAGGCAGTGGCTCTGCAGTGTCGGATAGGTAGCAATGCAGGCTGAGATGCAAGAGAAATGCAACGTATCCCACGGTTCCACCGTTTAACACACACACATCACTGCTGTCTGTGTAGATCTGTAGGATATAGATATTGTGCACATATACAAAGAAGATCTCCTGGTTCATAGTTCAACCTTGCCAAAGGCTGGATGAACACACATTTTTTGGCTGCTGGTATATTTAAGTATTGATCCAGCCATAATTTTTGACACCTTTTCTAGCCAAATTTGGATATTTTTCTAGCCCCACGAGCTACGACAAAACCCTAAATGTTGAAGGGCCCAATCCTGCAAACACTCACACGCCAGTTTGCTCGTCTGTGGTCCTCTTGAGTGATTGAGTAGGGGTAGGCTCAAGAGCTGTATGCTGTAATGTGAGCCCACGTTACATCACTGTGGTAGATGCTCTTAGCAGGGCAAATACAACATGCTTTTATTATCCACTGTGACACCCGGGCTTCTCAGTAGTGCGATACAGCCAGAAACATACGTCCACATGGCTGACAAGGCAGATGGTTATGCCTCTGTGGCACCCCAGCAAAGGCCAAAATGCAGTTCCCCTGGGGCTGTCCTTTGTTGATGGTTTCATGAGTCACAGCCTCCTGGGGCTTTTCAGAGACTGAATATTTGCTTATTCCCAATGATTTTCTGTTGCTGTGCTATAATTGCCTCTTTCGATCCCTGAAACATGCTGCAGACAGAGTTGGAATGGACGGAGAGAGAGAGAGCGAGAGAGATTGCCAGGGCATGGGGAGAGGGGATTGAATGCCACAGAACATTTGTTTTTTTGGTGGATTAAAATCTTTACCCTCCTGGTGCTGTTACTCTGCCTAGCGGAGTCGCCTGCTGCGCTGCCTCTGCGCTGCCTCAACGCATCTCTGCCATGGACCCGTGAGGGCAAAGGTGCTCTTATGGCCAGATGTTTTATAGCAGATTCAGCCCCAAACACACGAGAGAGCAGCTGCACTGCTGCTCTAAATTGGTCCCGTTTGTATCGGCCCAATCGGGGCTGTCACAGCTGTGAGAACTGCTGGAGCGGAGTGTACGCTGGCCATGCCCTCCACGTGCCCCTTGCGCTAGGGCGGCCGTGCGTGGGTGGCATGGAGCTGCCCATTTGGGGATTTGCTTATACAGGGATGCGGTTAAGGCAGCTCTCCTGTGGTGCAACTTCATTGGAATAGGGGTTGAGGATCTTCCCTTACATCATAGTGCCCACACAAAAGAGAGTGGAGGTAACGTTGAGAGCGGCCTCCGAGCTGAATTTCAAATGAATTCAGAGAACCATGAAATCTGGCAATGTCGGATTTGACTAAGTGTGTATAACTCTTACCAGGGTGTCCATTAAAGAGACAGAGTTTGGAATTGAAGCAGGTGAAATTCGGATAAGCCTCTCCCCGTATCCAGCTTTCCATGACCTGGATGTAGGTGACCTATCAAGATATTTTTAACTATAAAATAAAATAATAATAATCATAAAGTCCCCACAACACTTTGTAGTAGAGTCACAACACATTCAAAAAACCCATGACTTGCTATTGACTGTAACAGGTCTGTTCCAGAGCTGCAAGAACATTAAAACCTCGAATGTACTTTGAGTTTTGTGACTTTGCAATGTGAGGCACCAGTGCAACTTTACGGCCCGATGACCTTCCATCTTCATGTGATGACATCAAGCCAGGACTTACGTCCTGTATGATGGCCAGGCAAAAAAATGTATCAGAAGACTTTGCTTCTCAGAGCAATGCTACAGGCTACCGTCCTCGTTTATAATATTGGAAAGGAATCCCAGGTCTGAGAATTGCTTCCTTAACAACAAACCTCGTCTTCAACTCGACTGTCGTCCTTAACCCAGGCTGGGCTTCACCTTGTCATGTTGACCTTGAAATCAGCAGAGGATGGGGGCCGGTGCAAACCAGAGATGTTGTTAGGAATGCTAATGATGACCATTTGTTGCTGTTGTTCAGGTGAAATGTAACGAACAGCCGAACCGGGTGGAAATTTATGAGAAGACTGTGGAAGTTCTGGAGCCGGAGGTCACCAAGCTGATGAAGTTCATGTATTTCCAGGTAAGTGGTGAAGGAGAGAGGCAGGAGCTCTGTTCGCAGTTCAGTATTTGTGGCTCTCTGATCTCATTTCCCTGCCAATCCAGCTTGGAGGACACCTTCCCAACTCCTCTTGGTAGAACTGAGACACCCTTTAGCTTTGTACCTGCCAGTTGTCATGTGGGATACCTCACAGCAGAATCTCTAAGGCACACAACTCTTGCCTAGCCTCAGATTTAATTATAAACTCAAAATTCAGGCCCGGATCATAAACCTTTGGGCAAAGCTGAGCCTGGAAGCTTATGAAGGTCCAGATGGCTTCAGCCCTGCTGTAGGTATGTGCTCTGCAATGTATTTCTATAAGGCAGCCACCCCACCGGTATTTAGAGACAACAACTAATGCTTCTATTGCTCTGCAAAAGGAAATGAAGGGTTAGGAGGGAGCCGTCACCCGCCAGAGCCTGAACGGTGAGTGTTGAGGAAGACACAAAGGCACTTACACCACCATGTTTTTGTTGGCATTTCTGCAGCGGGGGGAGATATTTGAGTTCAGTGCTACTTGTGGTAGAAGATAACAAGCATGAGGTTGCCAGACCACCTGCCTCTTTTATTTTTGCTCAGATTAATATTTTTTTGTCAGCCACTTCCACAGCTCCCCATATTCAATGTGCTTTGATGTGACAGTGTTTTTGGAGCAGTTTCCCCTTCTGTCTGGATGCAAAGCCGGGCACAGTCCATTCCACCCATTTGCAAGAGGACATGCCCCCAGATAATGAAAGTCTTCTGACGATGGAAACCTTTCCTTTGCACTTACCACTGTAACTGTCCAACGTCAATAAGGGCACAGAGACTTAAATTTAGCAGCGCTCAGACTTGAGGCATCCCAAAGCACTTAACAAAATAACATGGTAGGTTCTGGCAGAGTGTGTAGACTGACAGCCGGGCTGTGCTCCAGGAGCCTACACAGAACCTGGGTCTAGGTTTCTCCTTTGCTCTTTTTCAGTGCCATGAGATCTTTAACATCCACCTGAAAAGCTGCGCAGAAGGACTCTTGGCGTAACACCTTATTTTATCTGGCAGAGCTCCCCACACTATGTGACATTGTCAGCCCAAGGCCCCATACAGGGTTTGAACCCGCATTCCTCCGGCCAGCAGTGAGAGTACTTTCAAATGAGCTGGGATATTTGTAACAAAGCCTCTTCATCTGTCATCAGTGGGGTTTGGATGTGGAACCTTGAGCCCTGTAACAGTGTACACGCCCTGCTGGCGCTCATCCTGGTGGCTGGGTCTGGGGATTAGCTCTCGCCTCATTTGGCACCCCTTTCTGTCAGTTGCTTGCCCCGTGGCCTCTCTCTCTCTCTCTCTGGAACTTGGGGTGCTCCCTCTTTGTGACTCAGCCCTCCGGCCGGGTCACTATTTAATCCGTCAGGGGTGTCAAAGTCCCAGTGGACAAGCTGTCCATATGCCATGGGAGGAAGTCTTCCGGTTCACGTCCAGGTCCAGGGGAACTCGGGCCCATCCAGTGTTCTGAGTTCAAATCCAGGGACCCTATACTCAGTAACAACAGTCTACTCAGTCTCAGACCCAGTTGCTGTTTCCTGGGCTCCTTCCTCCCTCACTTCTCTAGCTCCCAGCCCATCTCTGGGTTTACCAGCCCGAGGTTCCTCCACTCGCAGTGGCTACACCCCCCGGCTTCTTGCTAGCCTCTGTAGTGCAGAGCAGGAGCCCAGGGCTCGCTCTTCCCCTAGATCTCCTCCTCGTCCTTAGCCAGCTCCCTTTCTCTCTAGGGAATGACTGCAAAGCTCCTCCCGGCAGCCCCCTCCTGCTCTCATCATCCTGGCTTTATACACGTTCAGCCTGCCCCTGCCCAGCTGCGCTTCATCATCCGTTAGACTTTATCCATTCCTGATTCTCCTCCAGGTGCAGCCCATAAGGTTAATTGGCCCTTGTTAACCTGCTCAGGCCTTGGGTGGGGTGGACATCCCATCCCAGCGCTAAACGTGCAGGCCTATTCTACCTGAGCTGGAGGAGGAATGCTATTAGCTAGTGGCAGTAACGGGCTGTTTTCCATTTGGTGGGCCGGTCGTTAGGTGGGGACATGTCGCACACACGTGCATGCCGAGCCACTGGATTCCATAGTTCTACTAAGCACGGACAGGGCACCCGCTAAGTATGTTCCCCTCCCGTTGTCTTCCAGCGCAAGGCTATCGAGCGGTTCTGCAACGAGGTGAAGCGCTTGTGCCATGCTGAGAGAAGGAAGGATTTTGTCTCCGAGGCCTATCTCCTGACGCTGGGGAAATTCATTAACATGTTCGCCGTGCTGGATGAGCTGAAGAACATGAAGTGCAGCGTCAAAAATGACCACTCTGCCTACAAAAGGTGGGAGGGGAACCACCTGCCTTGCACATTTCTGTAGCGTGCGGGGAGGAGGCGTAGGATGGCCAGGGCCAGGGCTGTGTCTCATTTGCTTCTGACTCAGGGCAGGAGGAGGAAAGATGACCCAGTGGTTAGGATGCCAGCCAGAGCCTGGGGTTTGAGTTCCTCCTCCATCACAGACTTCCTGTATGACCCTGGGCAAGTCACTTAGCCTCTCTGTGCATCAGTTCCCCATCTGTGAAATGGGGACAGTAGCACTGCCCTACCTCACAGGGATGTTATGAGGACAGAGTAAAGATTGTGAGGTGCTCAGATACTACTGTAATAGGGGTCAGATAAATAGCTTAGATAGAGAGAGCTAATGAGATTATTTTGCAGGTGATTAACGGTTTCTGCTAAAACGCTGTGCAGTGCCAGATGGCTGCTAAACTAAACAACAATGCAAAACATCCACCTAGGAGTTGCATGAATGTAGTTAGAGTTTTAGTGGCATAAGTTTCCATAAAGGATTTTGCTCTTTGGGGCATTTTCCCCTTAAAACTACAGAATATATTCAATGCAAACCAGTCAGCAGTCTAGCAAAATAAAGGAGACCAGACTGCAGGAGACAACAAACCTGCAAGGCAACCATGTCAGGTTAAAACCCCACGAAAGCTTATGCCCAAATAAATCTGTTAGTCTTTAAGGTGCCACCAGACTCCTTGTTGTTTTTGTAGACACAGATTAACACGGCTACCCCCGATACATGTCAGGTTAAAGAGCCTGGATTACACAAAGCATTCTTTACTTGTGTTACTAATGACATGTAGGGATATTAAAGGTATTACATTTTAAAAAGCTAACCTCAGTTTCCCTATCTGTAAAATGGCGATAATGTTACTGAATTCCTCTGTAAAGCACTTTGAGAGCAATGGATACAAAGCGCTAAAGAGCTAGCTATCATTATTATTTTCACCATTTATATTGTTTGCTCATTAATAGAACTTTGCTCACCTTGGACAGTAAAACTAATCTGGGCTGTTCCTGGTCACTTTCACATGCTGGTTCTCAAGCACTAGCAAAGTGTTACAGTGTCGGCACTGCAAAGATCCCAGAGTAATAGCTGCATCTCCTGATGGAGTTGGTGTCGAGAGGACAAAACACTAAGCTGTGAGTCAGGAGGTCTGAGAACTAGTTCGGGCTCCCCCCTTGACTTGCATTACAATGTAAATGGGTAAATATCCACTGAACCTCTCTGTGTCACAGTCTCCTTGTCTGCCAGACAGGGAGAAGGGACCGTACTCAGACCTGTGAAGTGTTTGATAGATAAGAGGGACACTGTAAGGGCTAAGTATTATTCTGATAAAAAAAGGCTGTTTTCATTTAAAATTAAAAGAAAATCCTGAAAATGTTTCTATTATTACAGTCTTAAATTGTATAAAACTTGTTGTTTTTTTAACCCATCCTCCGTGTTGGGGTAAAATGACCTGACTGCTGTGTTAACATGGCGTCAACATTGTGACTCCGCCGAGAGAGTTAACCTGATACGAAAAGCCCTGGATAACACAGGATCTCCTCCTTTCAGAGCTGCCCAGTTTTTGAGGAAGATGGCTGACCCGCAGTCTATTCAGGAATCCCAGAACCTCTCCATGTTCCTGGCGAACCACAACCGGATCACACAGGCGGGTCGCTTTCCTTCACTCTCTCTCCCACCACTTGCTCAGCAAAGTTACCAGTTAGTTTTGCCAGGTGGGGTCACCTTCCCATGCAGGGAAGGGGAGACATGATTGCATTGGCAGGGCTAAGAGTGCTGCAGGTTTGGCTCTTGAGATGGCTACGTTGTTCATTATGCCCCTGATCTAAAGCCCGATGAAGCCAATCGGAGTCTTTCCGTTGACTTCTGTGGGCTTTGGATCAGGCCTTACCTCCAGCTAACAGAACATCTGGGATGACTTTAGAGTTCTCAGGGTATCAGCTACCAGTGATAAAGAGAAGGTGTAGGGATCAAAAAGACACAAGATGAGTGGGATGAGGTTGTCTCTTTGGTAGAAGATTTACCCTTCAGTCTCTCACACCGAGGTTCCTGTTTTCACCTACTGGGTGCATCCGACCTTGAGAGTCTTCTCCGGATGAGACATGCACAATGTAAAATACAGATGGAGCTGGGAAGGGCCACATTCCACACTTGCACTCCATCTCGGGGACTGCAGATCAGAAAGGGGCTTTGAAAAATGCTCCTTCCTGATCCCATGGTTTGTGCCGCTGAGGTAGAACATGACACAAAGACAAGAGAAGACACTAGCAAAGTGCGAAGTCTCCTCTTGAGCCAGATCATTTCTCTTCCTCCTGTCACGTCACAGTGTTATGTTTGGCTGTTACCCCTGGTTCTCTGGTGACCACACTGGAAGAATCAATCTAAGGAGGGAGTGTTGTTCCTGAGGGCCTGAGCGCTGGAGAAAAGGGGTTTGTTTCTCAGCCCCGGGGCCCTAGCAGAGATAACATTTCCTATACAGCCTCAGGTGAGGCTAGTAGGTGACATTCTCCTCCTGCGCCTGGTTCTGAAACCTTGGCCACAGGCTCAGAATGACTAAGACTGTTTAACTAAACACAGACGGCCCGGTCAGTCTGCAAGCTGCAGGGTGAAAATCATGCTCCTCGATCCTCCAAACGTTGCCTCCACCTTCCTCTCACTGGCCCTTCCAGGGTGGGATTAACGTGGGGCGTGTTGGTGTTTCAGTGTCTGCATCAGCAGCTGGAAGTTATCCCTGGCTACGAGGAGCTACTGGCGGATATTGTCAACATCTGTGTGGACTACTATGAAAACAAGATGTACTTGACGCCCAGCGAGAAGCACATGCTCTTAAAGGTGAATCCCTCTTACACGCGCTCTCGCAGTCTTTGGCTTTTGTTCCGTTTCTTAGTGGTGAAATCCCTTTGTGCTCCCACATGTTTTTTCTTTCCTTTGTTCCCTTCCTCCCTTGTGGTGTCAGATTTGCGGGGGGTCTCTCCACGCACGCAGAGCCAGATTCTCCTCAAGCCAAGGGCTAGAATGACAAGGATGCAGCCTCTCCAAGGAATATCAAAGCTCCTGCCGAGCCACCTCGCTCCCTGAGCCCTTTCTCCATCTTCCCTCCCTTAATCTTTTGCTCCTTCCTCCATAATCTCCACTGCGTCCCCCACTTCCAACCTTTACTTCTCCCCCTCCAGGGCCCCGTGACGGTCCGTCTAGCTGAGCAGAGCTGGGCACAGCTCTAAGCATGGGTCACTCAGGCATGTTCGGAAACGATACCTCTGCCCGGGGGCTGAGTGTGCTGCCTTCATGGCATACCCAGCGGCCAGAGCAGTAACTCATCCCTGCATGGCGCTTTCAGTCGATCACTAGGCTGGCTTTTCTCAGTCTGTTCTCTCTCCTCTCCTCTTTATTCTTCCTGTCCTTCTGCTATCCTTCCACAGACCCTTTCCCCCCTTCTTCCTTTCTCTCTTTCCTCTGCTCCCCGTCTCCCCTCGCCACCAGCTTTCTCCTTCTGGACCCTTTACAAGGTCGGCAACCCTGCCCAGCACGCCCAGAGGATGCTCAATGGCTGTTCTGTGCGTTCAGCCAGCAGGTGGAGCCTCTCCCTGAGGAATGGGAAAGCGCTGTGCACAGCAGTCAAGTGGTGCTTCTGTTGTCACGCACAAGTGTTTAGGAGCCGCTCTTTGCTTGCATGGGCCAAAATCAGCATCATGTGGCAAACCAAACCCTGGATCTGAATCCCCCCCCCCCAGACTTAGGAGCCCCTGAATGTTGCTGCTCAGGCCCCTGGCTAGCAGGGATGGAACTGATCGTTGGAGTCTTTGGGGTCCTTCCAGCATTTGTGCGGTAACCCCAAAGAGGCCACAGAGTGAACGGGTCAGGATCTCGGGCGAAGGTAGGCGGGACGAGTGGCAGGAGCTCGATAGGCAGGAACGACCGCCGGGGCTCAGAGTCCATATCAGGGTCAATAGTCAGGCCAAGGGTCAAGCCAAAGCCTGGTTGGGGATCAGGCCGAGGGTCAATACCGGGTGTCAGGGTCCATGTGAGTGTTCCGCTGTTCAAGCAGGAGTCATGGTCCTAGTCAGAGCTGAGGTCAATAGTGGGAGTTCACAAACAAAGAATGCAGGGTGGTCATGGCAGCTAGCCACTGTTACCTGCTGAACACTCCCTGGCCTGCCCCTGGCGTTTATATAAGTACAAAGTAATGCACATCGGAAAACAGCATCCCAACTATACATAGAAAATGATGGGGTCTCAATTTAGCTGTTACCACTCAAGAAAGAGAGATCTTGGAGTCATTGTGGATAGTTCTCTGAAAACATCTGCTCAATGTGCAGTGGCAGTCAAAAAAGCAAACAGAATGTTAGGAATCATCAGGAAAGGGATAGAGAATATCATAGAAAATATCATAATGCCACTATATAAATCCATGGTATACCCACACTTTGAATAATGTTTGCAGTTCTGGTCTCCCCATCTGAAAAAGCGTGAATTAGAATTGGAAAAGGTGCAGAGAAGGGGGATGGAACAGCTTCCATATCAGGGAAGATTAAAAAGACTGGGACTGTTCATCTTAGAAAGGAGATGACTAAGGGGGATATGTTAGAGAAGTCTATAAAATCATGAATGGCATGGAGAAAATTAATAGGGAAGTGTTGTTTACCCCTTCACATACCAAAAGATCTGTGGGGAACCCTGTGAAATTAATAGACATCCAATTTAAAACAAACAGAAGAAAGTACTTTTTCACACAGTGCACAGTCAAACGGTAGAACTCATTGTCATGGAATGTTTTGAAGCTGGAAATTATAACTGGATTCAAAAAAGAACTAGATAAGTTCATGGAGGATCGGTCCATCAATGGCTATTAGCCAAGATGATGAGGGACACCAGACATGCTCCGCGTGTCCCTAAACGTCCAACTGCCACAAGCTAGGACTGGATGACAGAAGATGGATCACTCTAAATTACCCTGTTCAGTTCATTCCCTCTGAAGCATTTGGCACTGGCCACTGTCAGAAGACAGGATATTGGGCTAGATGGACCATTCGTCAGACCCAATATTGTCATTCTTATGAGATTGTCCTCAACATTTGTGAGTTTAATCTGGAGCAGAATGTTGAACTTTCCACAAGTGAACATGGCTTTTCATTACAAACAGGTTGAAATTTCACCAGGGGAAAAATTATGAATTTTTTCAAATTTGCTCTGGGATGAAATTTTTCCATTTTCATTTTAACATTTTATGGCAGCAGAAACCACCTTTTGTTCTTGAAAAAACATATAAAGCAAAAGATCAAGGCGAACATGTTATGAATCCACAAATATTTGATTTTCCCCATCCTACCCATCACCAGTTTCACATGGCTGGAGCTGTGATACAGGACCCTGAAATAATGCCTTCTCATGCCCCATAAAAAGGAATTCCCTTCTGACCTATGCTATCTATTTATCATTTCATCACAATGACTCTAGCCTCTCCTGTTGTCTCCACGTTCTTCCAGGTGATGGGCTTTGGTCTGTATCTGATGGATGGGAATGTCAGCAACATTTACAAACTGGACACCAAGAAGAGAATCAATCTTAGCAAAATAGACAAGTTCTTCAAGGTCAGTGGCCTGTGCAGGTCGGGTTTGAGATTGTTGTAAATTAATGATCCACACAGCTTGGGTGTGATTTTTAAAGCAAACAACAAACGTATTTAAAGTTCAGAAAAAGGCCTAAGGCTCCTGAGCTTGATCCAGACCCTTCTTGAGACGGTGGAGACGGTTGGATTGCCATGAATCTGGGTGAGCAGGTAGTCGTTTGTACTAGCTTGAGAAATACAGGGTTTTCCAGCCCTATTGAAATTCTAGTCCAATTCGTTATGGTCTCTGAGGTTAATGATTGGCTTTTCTTTTCTCTTTACCGCACCATTGACCTGACACACCATGAACCCAAGGAGCCCAACAACCCTTTGCCTTGCTTTGTGCATCCTCATTTCATCTGTAAATCAGAGCCCCTGTAGGATAAAAAAGTCAATTGGAAGCTTGTGTCCACCTCAAAATGCTCAAGAGGTTCCATAGAGAATTAATGCTAAGCTTTGCTGGAACAATTTCACTTCCTTCGTTCTGGGCTGGACTGTAGCTGTATGCCATGCTGTGCTCAGGGAGTGGGTTGCAAAGGGTCTGTGCAGGATTGGGAACACCTGGACAAGTGCCGCCGGATTCCACCTGGTTTCCTCCTGGGACTCTGCATGTATGCCAGGGTGTCCACCCATACCAGCCCCGCTCCACTGGCTGCTGCAGAAAAAGCAAAGGGCCAAGTCCCTGTCCTTATTCTGCCTCTCTTTCCCTCTTTGGGTAGTCCAGTACCTAGCCCTTAGCAGAGTGCCTGCAACCCCTGGCTTGGACTGCAGCTGTTCCCTACGTAGGAGAGCGTCTTCTCCCTTCCATTGCTCACATGCACAGGGCCAGACATAAATTGGCCCTTTAGCTTTGGGTCACATCAGCACTAGCAGACATGGTAAGATCTGGCATTGAGTAGTTGTGGCGGCAGCAATGAATAGGAGAATAAAGCAGTTTTCCTTGTGAAAGGTATTGTATCCTATTCACTTGCCATTAGCTTTCCTTCCACTGAGTCCTTTTGCCAATAACTTTCCTTTCATCAAGTCCCGTTGACTTAATTTTCCTCCTAAAACGAAGGGGTGGGGTGGGGGAAATCCCTGTACTATTAACAATTTCTGCCTCATTTGAGTGAAAATGAAAACCAACCTTGTACTTAAATGGATGAATATTGCTAAACCACAAAAGGATTTTGCCCTCTTACATAGGGCTGCTGTTTGCTGCCGTGTCACTCTCACCACTTCCTATAAACCCATGGTGATGTCAGTGTAGGAGGTGCCTTGAGCCCAGGAACTTGGGTTAGACTAAAGCATTTAGGTCCTCAGGAGACTAAACTGTTGTGTGCCAGGGGCAGAGAAGAGGAGAGACCAAGGTGCCACCAATGCCCGAGGCCATTTTTGAAGCAGCAGGAGCCCCGAATGCTAGCGTACTGCTTTATTTCTCTTTGAGGGGGAGAGGAGGGACGGGGTGAGTTGTTCAGGGTTATGTATTTATCTTTTCTATAAATACACTCTTCTCTCTCCAGCAGCTGCCGGTGCTTGTGCATGGCCCATTGCCTAGGGACTCCCGGGGGCTGGAGATATGGCCCTGTACATTACTGAGCAATAAACAGGGTATCACTAAAACCAGGGGCCCGGAGGGCTATGACAGGATGATCCTCCCTATGTAAAAAGCCTGGCATTAGTTTTCAGTCATTTTCATGATCTGGGATGCCTGTGCACCTCCCCCTCGACTGGCAGGCCCGATCCAGCACCTCAGGGGCAGAGGATGCCTTCTCGTGTCCTTTTGTGTTGCTCTCCAGCCAAAGGAAAACCTCTCCCATATTTCAACCGTCTTATGTTTTCTTTTCCAGCAGCTGCAGGTGGTTCCTTTATTCGGCGATATGCAGATAGAACTGGCCAGATACATTAAGACCAGTGCTCACTATGAGGAGAACAAATCCAAGTGAGTGCCTGCCGTAATGTCTCTTGGCTTCCATGTGTCCGGAAAGGGGAGGGAGTTGTGACACTCCTCCTCTAGTGTGTGAGGTCTGTGCACGGCTGGCTCCGGGTGCCCAAGGGTGCTTGGGCAGAATGCACAGGAGCGAGTGTGCCAGAATGTGAGGTCACTTGTCTGTGCAGGCGTATACGCGTGTGTGAGAGACAGGTCGTTCCTGCAGGCACGAGTGAGTGAGTGTGTGTGTGTGTGTGTGTGTGTGTGTGTGTGTGTGTATGTAGGAAAGTGAGAATGTGGACATAGAAGTGTGCCTATATGTAGGGTGCACTGGGTGTGTGCTCACAGTCATTGGTGATTGTGAGTGTGCATCCACGTGAGTGTGCGTGGGTGGTTGTGAGTTTAGGCACACGAGTGAGAATGCACCCAGGAGTGTCATGTGGCTCCGTGCCCATGCTTGTGTACTTGCATGGGGGGAAGGGGGTAGCTGTGAATGCAGGTCTGAGTGTTCATGGGATGGGCGTGTGGGCACTCAGGTGCACAGGCTGTGTGAATGTGAGTGATGTGTGCCTGCTCTGGGCAGATTTTAATCCACATTTTTGATCCGGAGTACAAAATCCTCCAGAGCATGAACACAGCACTGGATTCGATCTGAGCAAGAAGCAGGGCACCTTTTCCAGTGGAAGCAGTTACAGTGAAGCCACCCCACAGCCCTTCCCAGGCAGGAGGTTTTCATATGGGACACAAGGAATGAAACATGCACCTACCAGTCAGATCCATTTGACATGAATTTCTTAATAGTGGTGATTCCATTTTTCTCAAATAGTTTCTTTCCCAGGGGCTCGGTGGTGCTGTGGGTTTGTGGAATTGTCTAGGATCTGGATTCAAATCCAGTTTAGCTGTCATGTGAAATGAGTGTGAAGCTGTCAATTTTAGAACATCACATACACCCCAAAACATCCCTGTCTGCACAATTTGGCGTAGTGGTCAGTTACTGCTCCAAAGAAAGTCAGAGATGGATATGGATATCCCTGTGATAGGTTGGGATTAAGATGAATTTGCAACTTTGCACATGGCACGTAAGCAGTGCCTGACTGAGATAAGCTTGGCTATTGTCCCAGATATCCATCTGGCTTTCCATGAGCATTCACCTGTGGGACCAAATAACAGAAAAGCAATACAAAAATGTGCTGCTTTCATGTCTCCACAGTCCCAAGGAGCCTCTTAGGCATTGATTGGTTCAGTGCTTGATTGTTCCTAAACCAACATTGTCTGCTGTGTTAAACTGCCACTGCTGGTTTTTGTGAAGTGGACTCAAGTCCGCATAAAATGAGCTAAATGCTTCAAACTCAGTTCGCTTCTCTCCTCAAAGTTAGCTTGAAGCGGAGCCTCAAAAGTCATTAGTTCACTGATCCATCCACTCTAGCTATCCAGGCTCTTCTTCAGTGGTCTCATTAAGAGAGCAGTCTAGTCTCCAGTCAAACTCTCTTTTCATTGGGCTAGGAAATTACACACACTGTTTAATCACCAGGCTTTCATTTATATTCCAATTTCACAATGGAGGCCAGGAACACGTAGGATAGGCTTCCACTCCTCCCACATGGTTGGCTGGCTGGATGCGTCCTCATGCACCTTCCCAACTAAGAATGTCTCTTACCTTCCCTCATTCTTTGAGCTGTTTGGACAATGTTAATTATTTTTTTCACAAGGATGGTGGGATGGGGTTTCAAAAATTCCCACCAGAACTTTTTTTTTTTTTTTTACAAAAAAGCAGGTTTTGAAAACATTTTTGGGAAAAACTTTTGGTTGGTTGGTCCAAGTTTTCAGTTTCCGAAAATCAAAACTCAGAATTTTTTAACAAAATATATCAATAAAAAAATGGAAATTTTTGGCCAAAGTGAAAATGTTTGTTTTGGTCAAAAAGCCATTTGTTGATTTAAAAAAATGTTTCAATGAAAATTTTCTACCAGCGCTCCTCATTTTGCCATCCTAGAGTCTAATTAGCTGTCTACCTGTCTGTCTAATCAGATTGCTAATGTGCCCATCACCACAGTACGTGGGCACCACATATCTCTTCTCGCCCTGCCTTGCTAATCACAGGATCCTTCTTCACACGCTTCCTAACTGAAGTTGCATGGGACTTTGGCGACGAAACTGCTCCAAGTGTATGTGTGTGTGTGGGGCATTTATTCCCTGCACTCTTTTAGACTTGCATTTTCATCATTTCCTCCCTTTCTGTCCCTTCCTCCCACCTCCCTCGCTCCAGATGGAATTAATTGTATTTTTCTTGCACGGCATTTTATTTCTTCACTGTGGACTACATTATATGTGGCAGGCCAGGCTGGTGCAGCATTGGCCATCCCTGTTAACCTGCCGATTCTCTTGTGGGAAGCACAGGACACTGAAATGGGTAAGAGCCGAGTCATGGGATTCTGGGATAGCACCATCCAGCACATAACAGAACTTCAGCCACCACAAGTACCTGCGCCAGGAGCTTGTGTGGATATGGTCTCATGGGAATGTTCACACCACAAGCAACTTATTCAAGTCCCTCTCCTGTGCACAAAGGTGTCAGGCAGCATCCAGCCACGGAGCAGAAACAACACCTTGTGTCTTACCATGGCCTGTCACGCGGCACAAAGAGCCAGTTCCGAATACTCGAAGCAGTCGCCATGGCGATAGTTCATGAGAATCCCAGGGGCTGACATTTGTGTGCAGAAAACATTTGTGCGATACGGCCAAGTTCCAAGTCTGGATAGTTCATGATCAGGAATTCGGGGGCTAAATTCATGGACTAGACCTAGTTCTTATCTACACTAATACTCTTTTATACTGGCCATGTAAAGGAGCCAGGACCCTCGCTTTAAGGTCCCTTAAAGCTGCCTCCCTGCGAAAGAGAATCCAGCCCAATCAATTGTTCTCTGCTTAGTTAATTATACACAGGGTTTTTGCTGGGGTGGGAATATAATCCAGGACCAAAAGAAGAGTAGGAAGGAAGCACCTTTCCTTGCTGTCCACTGCAGGGGTACTTCCCCTCTTGTGATAGAAAGCACAAACCAGACCTTCAAGGCTGGACTCACAGAAGAGGATATTGTCCGGAGATGGTTATCCTTAGGATTGGGAGGTAGGGATTGGCGATGCACAGCCTGCGTGGCTCTTACTCATTCCCTGAGGACTCCCCATACAGCAGCATGGATAGCAGCCTAGAGATGGCTGACCGTTCACCTCTCTCCAGGGCTGGAAGGTAAGTACAGGAATTGAAGGAGGGTTGTCCTGGCAGAAGAGGTAGATGAGAACCCTGTGTAACACCATGTGAACCAGCCTCTGGACGGAGAAAGACCGCGCATCACACACACGCTGTGTCCAATGTCTCAGGGTGGGACGCTGTATGCTGGGTCCTGATGCTCTGAAGGTGGCAGGCTTTCAGAGCGCCCAGGGAAGGAGGCAGCTGAGCGGAAGGTCGTGTGCCGCCGGGTGCCCTCGCAGTTAAAGAGGCCGCTTTTCTGCCCAGGTGGACGTGCACTCAGAGCAGCATCAGTCCCCAGTACAACATCTGTGAGCAGATGGTCCAGATCCGAGACGACCACATCCGCTTCATCTCGGAGCTCGCTCGCTACAGCAACAGTGAGGTACGTTTGGGCAGCGGCTGCCTCAGGCCGGGGTGAAGGAGGAGGAGTCCAGTGAGTGGTACAGCACATCACATCCATGTCCCATGGGGGGCACGAGAGACATGAGTGGTACAAACTACTGCTAAAGTCATCAGTAGGCGCAAGTAGCGTACACTGGATGAGCTTCTAGGCACGCTGCAAAAGCCACTTCTCTCTTTGTTACAATACGTCATTATTGACAATATAGTTCATATGAATAATATTGCAACAAAACACGTATAATTCATGATGTGTCAGAGCAGCCAGAGCTTTGCACAGGTGTCTTTTTATTATTTAAACTGAAATAAAGAGAATACCTGCCAGGGCTTTGGAGGAAGATTCATGGGAGAGACTAAAGGGCCTGTCTTGCTACTTTGATGTATTGGCTGACTGAGTCCTTTCATATTTTCCTGTGATTATTATTTGCTGCTGGGTGATCATTGGTCATTATTATCTAATTGGTAGGGTGCCTAGACCTTTGTGTATGGGTGTTTTTCTGTTGTTATTTAAATCAAAATAAAGGGGTTCACAAAGAGCTGTCTTATATTTGGGGCATCTCAGGGAAATCTCTGAGACACTGGGATGATAAGGAAGGAGTTGTATTTTCTCTTATGTTATAGGAGAGACACCACTGAGTCCCAGGTCTGTAGGAAATACACTGCTTGTGCGCTTACTAAGAGTCATGTTGAGCTAGGATTGTAACAGTAGTTTGCTTTTCCTGTGGGGGACACATTGCCCGCTGCATTTTTGGCTCAGATTATAAAACCACATGAAATTTATTTCATCTGGGAATCAGGGGAGCTACACCTCTCATTCCGTAGCTTGCAGTCATGGCTGAAGAGCATGGCTTTGGGTTTATGACTCTAATTTTGCCACTGTGTGGGGAATCTCCAGGTGGTCACCGGCTCGGGGCTGGACAGCCAGAAGTCAGATGAGGAATACAGGGAGCTCTTTGACTTGGCTTTACGGGGGCTGCAGCTGCTCTCCAAGTGGAGCGCCCATGTCATGGAAGTGGTGAGTACCAACAAGGGTAACATCCCCACCAGGTGCTTGCTGTGATGGCCGGGAATTTTCCCAGTCAACGAGAAATGTGAAAATGTAGTCAACTGTTTTGAAAACAATTTTCACTGAAATTCGAAATTTTTCATTGAAATTTCAAAATTTGGCTTTTTTTGTCATCTTTTCTAAAGCGGGGGTGATGCTGACAGTTCTTTTATTGAGAATTCTAGGAATAAACATTAACGGTCAGCTTGATGTTAGAAAAGTACAAGAACTTAATGCCAGTGGCCCCGAACTCACTAGCAACCCTACAATAAACAACGCAAAGTGCTCGCACATCACAGCGGAATAAGATGTGGAAATAGCTTGTTTTCAAGCTTCCCAAAGGAATTATTATCTATAAACAACAGTAGTGGAGGCGAGGGAGTGTTTTTCTAAAAGGATGGAAAGCTCTCTTTGCGTGATGCACATTTCAGTTTGCTCAGCTGTGCTCGTTACTAGTTGCACTGGTTTTATTTTCTCCTTCCAGTATTCTTGGAAGCTGGTACATCCCACCGATAAGTTCTGTAACAAAGATTGCCCAGGCACCGCTGAGGAGTACGAGAGAGCCACCCGGTACAACTACACCAGCGAGGAGAAATTTGCCTTTGTGGAGGTAGGTGCTAAGAGTGGCTTGTTTTGCCCAAAGGGCTGGGCAGCCCTCAGAAGGAAGGACGGTCTGATGGCTAAGGCAGTAAGCTGGTAGATCTGAGTTCAATTCCCTGCTCTGCCACAGATTCCCTGTGTGACCTTGGGCAAATCACTTAGTCTGGGATTTTCAAAGCAGTCTAGGGGAGTGACACACCCAATCCCCCACTGACATTCAATAGGAGTTGGGCACTTAACTCCCTTCACAATCCCAGACTTCATGTCTCAGCTCCCCAGCTGCAAAATGGAAATAATACTCCTTCCTTCGCCACCAGAGTTACCTCTGCCAACACAAGGAAACTTATCTAGTTTTGTTCCTTTTACCCAGGTAATTGCCATGATCAAGGGTCTACAAGTGCTGATGGGCCGGATGGAGAGTGTCTTTAACCAGGCTATCAGAAACACTATCTATGCAGCCCTGCAAGACTTTGCCCAGGTGACTCTCCGGGAGCCCTTGAGACAAGCAGTCAGGAAGAAGAAGAACGTCCTGATCAGGTGGGGTCCAAAATGTAACTTAAAGCATATCTCTATGTAGTGTGCTCCTGTCTGCAGCCCAACCTGTGTGGGCAGCCCTCCCACAGCTATAACCATATGCCACATCCAGAGCCTACCAGTGCGCCTTGCCCAGCACTCGTGAGCAACAGACCCATAACGAACCAAGGTGAGCTGCTCATCCTCGTGTGACCAACACACCTGTAACCATCCGGTGGGGACAGGCCAACCCTGGTGAGCCACCCTCCCAAAACTAGCCGGTGCGAGAAGCCATCCCACCATGAGTCCATTCACAATGTGTTTTCCCTTCTCTTATGAGCATGGCGTTGGGCATTTTCTCCTTACATTAAAAGGCAAGTTTTAAAGTTTTGCTTTCACCATCCCAGTGTCCTTCAGGCAATCCGGAAGACGATCTGTGACTGGGAGGGAGGTCGGGAGCCCCCTAATGACCCCTGCCTGAGAGGCGAGAAGGACCCCAAAGGTGGATTCGATATTAAGGTCCCTCGACGAGCAGTGGGCCCATCGAGCACACAGGTACGTAAACCGTCTCCACTTCCCCAGGGAGTCCTGGGGCCATAAAGTCATCCAGCGGTGGCCCATTCTGGGGGTTAGCTGTTGGTCCATATAGTCTCCTCTTTTCCAAAGTCTTTGCATATGTCTTACGCAGGTAGCTCCCATTGTTGCCTTTGGTGCATCGCTTGTCCTACAGTACATGCTAGGGCCATCTTCTTTGTGGGTCTCTAATTAATAATGGAAGCAGGGATGGGGGGGGCTTGCTTGTAGAGCACCATGTGCTGCTGTATCAGTCAGGATGCTGCTGGTTTTTTTAAAGCTTTACATGGTGCGGACCATGCTGGAGTCGCTCATCGCAGACAAGAGCGGCTCGAAGAAGACTCTGAGGAGCAGCTTGGATGGGCCGATAGTCCTGGCCATTGAGGAGTTCCACAAGCAGTCCTTCTTCTTCACTCACCTTCTCAACATCAGCGGTGAGGCGATAGCAGAGGCGGACTTGCACCCGGCCCTGTCCGGCTGGGCTGCACACGGGCGTAGGCAGCCTGGTGCGACGGGTCGTCTTGCTCAAGAGTGGCCTCGCCAGCAGATTTTATTTTGAGTCAAAGGTTTGCACTTGGGTCTGATTTCAGGCATGTTATCAGTTACCCTGGCCACCTCTTCAGTGAAGATGAGTGCTACAGCGCTAGCAAATGAGGAGTGGTCTTGTGGGAAGGCTCTGGGCTCTTTTCCTGGCTCTGCCACAAACTCCCTGTGTGACCTTGGCCAAGTCATTTGATCTCCCTGAGCCTCGGTGCCCCAGTTATAAAGTGAGGATCGTAATCCTTTCTTTCTCCTACCCTACGGTGCTCAGGTACCATGGCGATGGGTGTGGTTTAAGAACTGTGATGGAATAGAATAGTTAAACCGCATTTAAAATAAACTCTACGCCTAGCCTACAAGGCCTGCCCTTTGCTGTAGGTTTCCCCTAGTTCTCTTGCAGACAGTAAACTCTGTGCCCTCCCGGTGTGGGGGAAATTCTGTTTCCAGAAGCCCTGCAGCAGTGCTGCGATCTCTCCCAGCTCTGGTTCCGAGAATTCTTTCTGGAGCTGACCATGGGCCGTCGGATCCAGTTCCCCATCGAGATGTCCATGCCCTGGATTCTCACGGACCACATCCTGGAAACCAAGGAACCCTCCATGATGGAGTAAGAGCCTAAGGGTGGCGGTGGGTGGGTTCGCTAGCTGGACCTCAGGGCACTAAGGAGCCTATCCTAGGGGACAGAAGTTTTATAAGAGGATTATAATAAGTATTCGAGTGTATATGTGACTTTGTGATACAGTTGTGCGCGACCGGTCCTTTTGTTCTGTTTGTACAACGCCTAGCACACCCTGGCTAGGGCTCTCAGGCACTGCGGTAATACAAGTAATAAATAATACTAACTCTTATGCCATTTGTTGTGCATTATAACTGCTTCCTTGTGAAAGAAATTGTTTTCCACTCTAGGGGCAGGTGCTGCAGACACTAAGGTTCCTTTGCAAAGCTAGAGAAGCACAGAAGTTTCTTAAAGGGCAGACAGTGAATTTCCTGGCATGGATGGGGGTGCGGGGGACCCTCAGCTAGCAGAAAGCCAGCTCTCCTCTAGCTACTTCCAGCAACTGTGATCTAGGCACTGTGGGGGGAGTTTCAGGAGCTGGAGCAGGTGGAGCTGAATGGTGCGAGGTTGGAGAATTCTCCATTCCAACAGCCCTGCCTGGGCTGGAGTGGTTGCAGAAGGGCCATATACCTTGTACTGGTGCTCAGTGCATCGTCACCATATGTGGGGTCGGGAAGGAATTTTCCCCCAGGTCCGATTCACAGTGACCTTGGGGGTTTTATGCTTTCCTCTGCAGCGTGTGGGTTGCTTGCAAGGATTATCTGGGTATATCTCGCTTCATCCTCCCCCAGCTGCTGCGGGAGCCTTAGACACCAGCGCACCTTGGTCCCTCCTGTTCTCTGCATGTGGCACATGGTAGTCGAGTCTCCTGTGGGCCGCAAGACTTTGGTCTCATTGCGATTGTTGGGTTGAGTGTGTGGGTGGTGGTGGTGCCCTGTGGTTTATAGGAGTTGAGACTAGATGAGCAGATGGTCCCTTCTGACCATAAACTCTATGACTGTAACATGAACTGTTTTCTCCCCTTAGGTACGTGCTGTATCCCTTGGACCTATACAACGACAGCGCATATTATGCCTTAACCAAGTTTAAAAAGCAGTTCCTATACGATGAAATTGAAGCTGAAGTAAGCTCTGTTCTTCTTTATTCGTCTCACTGTGCTATGAATGAAGCGCTCCCTCTTGCTTCACCAACGTGTCCTGTTTGACTGAACAGACCAATTTTTCAGTGAATTAATTAGAGGCATTCCCTAAAAAAAAAAAAAAAAATACTGAGAAATATTCAAGAGAAGGCCACAAATTTCCAAAGGCGCCTTTGTGTGCCTGCTGACCAATGGCCCAATCGGCGATCAGCTCCATGTGGAGCCAGTGAAAGCAAAATAGTCACGTCCGGGGTGTGTAAAGTGTGACTGATGGCCGAAGAGTCATGAGAGGTCAGTGGGGAAAAAGGACATGGAGCGCAGAGCTGGGCAATTATTTTCAGCAAATAGTAAATTTGCCAAAAAATGCATTTTTCTTAGCATCAGAACTATTTGCAAATTTGAATTCGAATTGTGTCAGGGCGTTTTCTTTCCGTAGCTGTCAAAGCCTTTCATTTCGACGTTTTTGAAACAGGCTGTTTTGACGTTTCGTTTTGAATTGACGTCTCGTTTCGAAATGCCATTCAAAACGGTTCGTTCCGCTCGTTTCATTTCAACAAGAAAAACCAAAACATTCTGTTTCAGTTCAAATCAACATTGTTTTCCAGATTTTCCACTCAGCTCAAACTGAGAGATAAAGGGGACAGGGAATGGGAGAGGAGGGCTTTTATGGTAGGATTCATAACAGGCAAGAAACATAAATGCTCGATGGTCTGCATTCCTTTATCATAAGAGCGTGGAAACCCCTCTGCTGGGTGACAGGAAATGTAGGGTAAAGTGCTTTGTTAGTGATGGCGTTTTATTAAAACAGTGTTTTTCTCTCTCTCTCTCTCTCTCTCACACACACACACACACACATACACGCTCACACTTGTTCTAAGAGCCTATTTCTTCAATGTTGTTTACACCCTGGTGATGTATATTTCTTTCTCTGGCAGGTGAACTTGTGTTTTGACCAGTTTGTGTACAAGTTGGCAGATCAGATCTTTGCCTATTATAAAGCAATGGCTGGCAGGTATGAGAATCCCATTGCTGCTGAGTGTTGTTATTACGATTTGCTCTGCGGTATCCTCTAGAGGCAGGGTTCAAGGATGTGTTGTGCTAGGTGCTGCAGGCACACCATAAAAGAGACAATCCCTGCCCCAAAGTGCCTCCAGTTGGTACCTGTGACCAGACCACAATAGATGGATCCAACAAATAAATTGAGGGGGGGAGACAAAGCTAACAGCAAAACAAAAATTAGCATAATAAGAAGCAGTCTGAGCACATTGTCGTGAATGCTAACGCTGCAACCTGAGCCCATGGCGAGGTTCCCCATATAAGCGGGGTGCAGTGGACAGGGCAGGAGTGGAGGTCATCAGGAAAGAAATGGAGCATGCAATAGTACTGGTGCCTAGTATTGGTCAGCCATGATCCTTTTAACCATTTAAAGGCATACATGGCATTAATGAGCCAGTCCTACCCTTGCCCGGTGACCATAATGCAGAACCTTGGCTTAACACAGGGTACAGTGAGGGGAGGAACAGGGAGAACCCCAAAAGGAGAGCTTCAGCCCCTGTGACCAGCAAGGAAATGTCCAGGATTTGCCTACAGATATCTCCAAATTACATTCACCCTGATGGAAGACTGGTGGTCTCCCGGCAATGAAGTCATTCCCTGAAGCAGCCCATCAAGAAGGCCGCCCATCCATGAAAGAGTCCCAGTGTCAGCTACCCAGTACCTGCCAACACCTACACGTGTCAGAACCAGCCGTGCACTCATTGGGCTTGTCTAGACAGAAAGTTAGCGTGAATGGGGGTAGGTCAGTGCGCACTTGGGAACTTTTAGTGTGCGGTAGCAGGGCCCAGGCAGGCCGTTAGGACAGGGCACACAGGCGCTCTGTAGATGTACGCTCCGTCTTGCCGCGCACCCACTCTCCATTTACACAAGCCGTTGGTGGTGCGTCCGTGAACAATGGACAGCAGGGCGGCAGCCTCTGGATAATGACGGCAGCTGTGAGTTTGACGAGGTGGGGGTGTCGAAGAGTGACTCACCGGCCAGCGCGCCGCCTCGCGGCTGGGGGCTGCCTGTTAGGACCTGCCCCTCAGACACCGCCTGCCAACAGCCATTCGGCCCGTGGCAGTCTGTCTCTTCTAATGACTCGGTGCTCCAGCCAGGTCACGTTCAGTCTCACTCCTTCCGGGGTATCAGGTGTCCACTACGTCCTCCACCCCTCCCGGGCTGCTCTTTAACCCCACTCTTCTTTCAGAGTAGCGGGTTCCCAGGCGTCTCCCTACCGTCCCCAGGCAGACTCCAAGCCAAGCCACTGCTGCCTGCCCGGGGTGTATGCTTTGAGACCCTCTGGGTTCTCTCCATCTCCCTGTTCCTCTTCTGGAAGACTGACCCTAGAGGCTATCCTGTTGGAGTCTAGACCCTGTTTCAGGGCCCACTGTGGGGCTGGCTCCACCCCTGTGGGTGCCTTTCCCAGAGAGAGGGAACTCTACCCCCCTTCTGCTGAGCCTCCTCTCCCTGGGTCTCTCTTAGGGTGACCAGATGTCTTGATTTTATAGGGACAGTCCTGATATTTGGGGCTTTTTCTTATATAGGCTCCTATTACACCCCACCCCCAGTCCCGATTTTTCACACTTGGTGTCTGGTCACCCTAGTCTCTCTCCTCACTGGCTTGAGCTCCTTGCTTGAAGAACACCCAGCTCCTCCCCAGCGGAGACTGATAATAAACAGTGCCTAGCACGCCCTCTAGTTACAGCCAAACGCTCGGGCACCCGTTAACCCTTTGTCTACCAATGTTGGGTTATACACCCTCATGACATAGGGGTATAAAAATATGGTTAAAGAGAGGGAGGAGGGGTTGGGAGAACCCTCCCAGCTCATAAAGGGGCTGACTCAGAGAAGGCGGGACTCAGAAGGGGATGTACTTGCCCTTGGAGAAGATTAAGAGGAAGGAGACGGGATGATGGGGCAAATGTACTGATAATATTTTCCTTTTCCAGTGTCTTACTGGATAAACGTTTCCGGGCTGAATGTAAGAATTATGGCGTGATTATCCCTTACCCGCCGTCCAATCGCTACGAGACGTTACTCAAACAGAGACACGTCCAGGTACAACAGACGCAGCAGCCGCAGACGTTTCCTAAAGGTCTTTTGATCTCCAGGGGATTTAGCCAGGTCCTACTGTCAACTGAAAATGTCAGTGTCCAGTGTCACGGAGTCCCCGGGCGATGCTCTGGAACTGCTCCCCACAAAGCCAGGCAGGACTCTGGGGAAGTCTCCTCTCCCTTGGAGCAGACTGTCTCCAGGGCAAGGAGCTCACACGGCTTCACCTTCCTGGGTCTGACCTTTGGAGCATTCAGCATCCTCTGCCCCTCCGTGCGCTTCCCACAGCGAGTCCACCCTGGCGGGGTCCTGGGGAAGCCAGAGGGTCCTACACGCACCCCCACTTCGCTGTCAGACATGACTCTTAACCAGCCAGTAAAACAGAGGTTTATTAGATGACAGGAACATGGTCTAAAACAGAGCTTGTAGGTACAGAGAACAGGACCCCTCAGCCGGGTCCATCCTGGGGGGCAGCGAGCCAGACACCCACGTCTGCACTCACTCCACTTTCCCAGCCAGCTCCAAACTAACTCACCCTCCAGCCCCTCCTCCTCTGGGCTTTTTCCTTTCCCGGGCCAGGAAGTCATCTGATTTCTTTGTTCTCCAGCACCTTTAGCTATCTCCTTACGGGGGGAAGGGCCCCGGCCATTAGTTGCCAAGAGACAGAGTGTCGGCCATTTATGCACACTGGCCTTTATCCCACCACCTAGAGACTTAAGAAATGCATAGGGGAAACTGAGGCACCCCTACAATATTCAGAGGAAACATTAAGAACTGTCCCACTTCATCACATCTAGGTCATGTTCTTTTGCTGGGTACAGTCACGATTAATGACCACAGATTTCCTATATTTAAGAAGTAACTGGAAAACTGAGTCAAAAGCATTTATTATTATGCTGACAAGGCGTATTCAGGTCTAGTGAGTATGGAAAGATTGGTTATTTACCTTCCAGGTTCCGAACTACCCTTTAGATAGAGATAGACCCAACCAGCGAAGTTTTGATCCACTGGCATTAGAAAAGGTTCAGAGAAGGGCAACTAAAATGATTAGGGGTTTGGAACAGGTCCCATATGAGGAGAGATTAAAGAGGCTAGGACTTTTCAGCTTGGAAAAGAGGAGACTAAGGGGGGGATATGATAGAGGTCTATAAAATCATGAGTGATGTGGAGAAAGTGAATAAGGAAAAGTTATTTACTTGTTCCCATAATATAAGAACTAGGGGCCACCAAATGAAATTAATGGGCAGCAGGTTTAAAACAAATAAAAGGAAGTTCTTCTTCACACTGCGCACAGTCAACTTGTGGAACTCCTTGCCTGAGGAGGTTGTGAAGGCTAGGACTATAATGGGGTTTAAAAGAGAACTGGATAACTTCGTGGAGGTTAAGTCCATTAATGGCTATTAGCCAGGATGGGTAAGGAATGGTGTCCCTAGCCTCTGTTTGTCAGAGGGTGGAGATGGATGGCAGGAGAGAGATCACTTGATCATTACCTGTTAGGTTCACTCCCTCTGGGGCACCTGGCATTGGCCACTGTCGGTAGACAGGATACTGGACTAGATGGACCTTTGGTCTGACCCGGTACGGCCGTTCTTATGTTCGTATGCTTTTATCAGAACTTTCTCCACCTTCCAGCTGGTTTGGCTCTGGGGCTCTAGTTTGGATCCATCTCTCCCTTTTCCCACTAGTATCTTTTCCTCTTGTCCACAGCTGCTGGGTAGATCAATTGACCTGAACAGGCTCATAACTCAGCGTATTTCAGCTGCGATGTACAAATCGCTAGACCAGGCCATTAGCCGCTTTGAGAGTGAAGACCTGACCTCCATTGTGGTAAGCTCAGTGATTGTTTGAAAGGGCTGTAGAATCTGAGAGTATGATACACTGACATCGTATGTATATACACCATTGTCCACTACTGCATTGAAATCACATAGACAGTAGTTTTCTACCCATCTGTGAATTCTCTTCTTTCTGTCCTATCTTCGGTATTTCTAGGTCTCCCATCATCCACAAAGGGACTATATTTGGGAGTTTCATAGTGCGGGATCTTCATAGAGCACAGATGGTAGAGTCCTGTCATTTGGGAGAAGAAAGTCCTGAGTTTAATTCCCCCCACTGCATCCATGTGGCTAAACTCTGGATTGACGTGCCTGTGTGCATATGGTTCACAGCCACTGATACATTTCAGGGCCATCAGAGTCGGGTAGTGTATAATTATCAGTTTACACGTGTCAGGGATTCTGATGTGAAAGGTGTTATTCTAGCAAGGATGTGCTCCGTGGGAAACAACGGCTTTTCACCACCTGTAGGAAGGGAAATGGTAGAATGGGACCCCTGGAGTGCAAGTGCAAATGCCCTTGGTCTTTTGAGTTCAACCAATGTCTTTAATATTTGATACATCCTCACTTGGAAGACGGTGTGTGTGTGTGTGTGTGTGTGTGTGTGTGTGTGTGTGTGTGTGTG